GTTGTTAGGTATTAAGTCTTGGTTTTACTGATCTGGGGCTCCTAGCCTTAGTGGGCCTGTGGTTTTTCTTTTTGACACTATGTACTAGAGAAGATAAAAGATACATAGAACTATGGGAATTTAAAGAACACTTTAGATTACTTTCAAATGACCAAAGTTCTTTGAGGGAATAGAGTAATTCTCTTACTTAAAGATATAGTCAAACTAGGATGCACTGAGGGGAAAAATGGGAGAGGCAATAAATATAACTAGGGGGGCGCCTGGGTGGCTCAGTCGTTAAGCGTCTGCCTTTGGCTCAGGTCATGATCCCTGGGTCCTGGGATCGAGCCCCACATCGGGCTCCCTGCTCAGCGGGAAGCCTGCTTCTCCCTCTCCCACTCCCCTGATTGTTTTCCCTCTCCCGCTGTCTTTCTCTGTCAAATAAATAAATAAAATCTTTAAAAAAATAAATCTAATTAGGGAGGTGGAGTGGAGGAGAAAGCCTTTCTTGATCTTCTCTGCAAGATAAAAGTTTGGTAAAAAAAAAAATCCCCCCCCCAAAAGAAATAAAGTACCCATAGGTGCTGCAAAATAGATAAACCTTGAAAACATTATGATAAATAGAGGAAGTGAGTTCCAAATGACCACATACTGGGGGCGCCTGACTGGCTCAGTCGGTAGAGCATGCAACTCTTGATCTCAGGGTCATGAGTTCAAGCCCCACATTGGGTGTAGATCTTACTTGATTAAAAAAAAAAAGACCACATATTATTTGATTCCAAGAACAGAAAATGTTCAGAAAAGACAAAAGTAGATTACTAGTTGCCTAGGGCTGGGGGCGGGAACAGAGATTAACTGCATGAGGGATATCTTTGGGGTGAGAAAAATGTTCTAAAACTGGATTTTAGTTGGGGTGCCCAGCTGGCTCAGTCAGTTGAGCATGCGACTCTTGATCTCAGGGTTGTAGTTTGAGCCCCACCTTTGGTGTAGAGATTACTTAAAAATAAAATCTTGGGGCACCTGGGTGGCTCAGTCAGTTAAGCATCTGCCTTCGGCTCAGGTCATGATCTCAGGGTCCTGGGATTGAATCCCACATCAGGCTCCCGGCTTGACGGGGAGCCTGCTTCTCCCTCTCCCTCTGCTGCTCCCCTTGCTTGTGCTCTCATTCACGCTCACTTGCTCTCAAATAAATAAAATCTTTAAAAAATAATAAAATAAAATCTTAAAAAAAAATAAAACTGGATTTTGGTGACAGCTGTATAAGTCAGTAAATTTACTAAAAGTCATTAAACTGTACACCTGAAATGGGTCAATTTTTTGGTATGTAATTATATTTCAATAAAGCTGTTTGCAAAACAAAACACAACATGGTTTTGCTCCTCCTTAGTAGTCACTTTTTTTTTAAGATTTTATTTATTTATTTGACAGAGAGAGAGACAGTGAGAGAGGGAACACAAGTAGGGGGAGTGGGAGAGGGAGAAGCAGGCTTCCTGCCGAGCATGGAGCCTGATGCGGGGCTCGATCCCAGGACCCTGGGATCATGGCCTGAGCCGAAGGCAGACGCTTAACCGACTGAGCCACCCAGGCGTCCCCTTTAGTAGTTACTTAATAGTGCACCAGCACTATATACAATTAACAGTATCAGTTCATTTTTATAACACACAGAGAAAGGATATTTTCCTGAAATAACTGGAAGAGGCAAAGGACATTGAATGTTATGTCCTATATTTACAACCCTAGTCCCTAGTACTGTAATACCTATAACACAATAGGAGCGTGATAATTGTTTATTGAATGTAGTGTACTAAGTGAGAAAAAACCACCCACAGGGAGCTAACTGGTCTGTCATTAGTGAAAACCAGCAGGAACGAGAGAATCAATGTTAGCAGGGAAGACAGTTCCCTACCCTGATTGTCTGAGGTAGAAAAATAAGTACAGTTACACATAGGTGCGATGTGGAATACAATTATAGTTATTTCATCCTTAGCAAGTTGAAAGGCATTTAGAAACCACTCAAGGCAAAGGAGGAGGGTTGAGGAATTGCTCTGATTTTTAGAAAGCAACAGACCCAGTAAAATCAGAAAAGTTTATTGCCATTCATTATGAACAATTTAAAAGTGATATTAGCATGTTAGTCATCATACAAATTCCTTTTAAGTATAAAAATCAAGATGTCAGTGTCTGTTCAGGACCATCAAATGAGTCCAATACAAAACCATACTCTCAGACTTGGGGATCGCACCTCCACTCGTTAGAGGACGCAAGTCTGACCAAACCAAGCCCAGGCTTACTTCTGAGATTTTCCCAGGCAAAGCACGAGCAGGAGGTGCTATTAAATTAAAAGCCAATTAAAAAGATTTCAGTAGCTAAATGGAGAGTTCCCAGAGACACAGGTGACAGCCGTGTTTCTAGCCCCTTTCAACCATGAAGTCCTGTAAGCACCTCAGGCAGCATCAATCCGAACATCCTGAGACCGGAATACACTTGAGCAACAGGTGCTTCATTTGGCCACCCGTGGGAAAAACTCAGTGACTACATAGAGCAGTTGGCACATGTGCCCACAGGCCAGTTGACTCCTACAGTCCCCACACTACGATAATAGACCCCCACTTTCCAAAGTGCTACTGGGCCTTAGTTAAGGAGGGCCACCCTCACCCTCTTCCAGTTAACACCCTGTTCACACAGAGCCCCTACAACCCCCCCCAAACAGGAGGCCCTGGGTCACATGCCAGAAATAGATATAGCACATTGAAACTGAGATAGAAGACATCTACTAGACAATACTATCCATCCTGGATCCTCCACAGCTTTAGACAATGGTGTAGAAATATACACCAATGAATTACTGTATGAAGAGGAGAGTTCAGGGATAAAGGAAAAGCAAAAGAGAACATTTTAGTCCATGGTGAGGGAAAAGAAAACCAGAAGGAAAGGAGGAAGAATAGTGAGCTTATGTGAGCTTTCACTTTCTAACAACACTTGGTATCTGCTCAACCTCCAGCTTCCGATTCTCCAAGAAGAGGGGGTGCCAGATTTAACAAACAAAAATACAGGATGCCGCATTAAATTCGAATTTCAGATAAACAGCAAATAATTTTTTGACTCTATGTCCCAAGTATTGCATGGTACAAACTTACACTAAAAAACTATTTGTAAAAAACAAAACAAAACTACTCTCTTTTATCTGGCAACCCTATCCAGGAGGCTCAGTTAACCTGAGGACTAATCTGATCATATATTGTCAAAGAGCAACAGCAAGACCATCCCAGAGCAAAGTACAGACTCTTCATTCACCACAGAAGGAGCTACGTGATTCTTTTAACTCCATTTCCCAAACTCTCAAAGATCCAATGCTTCTTTTGGCAGGGTAAGAGAATATGTGCACAGTGGAGTTGTCAACCACTATCTGCCAGGTGGAGGAGTTTTCCTTCCGTATCAAATGAAGAAGGTCAAAAATACAACTAGGGAGAATAAGGAGAAGCAGGCTTACTAAGGTAAGGAATCTGACTCCTACCGCCGCAGGGCAAGCTGAAATCCCCCAGCAAAATCCCCACAAATGTGACAGCCCTGGGGTCTGGAGATCCAACATACTCCAACTTTCTTCGAGCAACTAAAAGACCTCAAAAGGCAACCAGGACTGAAAACACACACACACACACAGTGTACAGAAGAGGGAGGAATAGGAAAAGAGCAAGGTAGGACACTGAGAAGAATCACACAACTCCCTGATAATGACCGGCAGAATATTTTGGTTGGGTGGTTGGTTGGTTGGTCTGTGGGGTTAACCTTCAGTGGTCTTTCCCTGAAGCAGAAGCTGACAGAAAAAAAGGGCCTCACAGAGGCCTCAGGGACACAGCTTTATGGGGGATTAATTCCACATCACCAGGCCCATAGTGCTATCATAATCTGATAGCAGATCTGACCATCAGACCCCACATCCAATGTGCTACCATGACGAAGTGCCAAACTCATCTCCTGAGGGCAGAAGAGGAACCAGTAACAAGTCCGTGGCTGATAAACATTCCCCTCAAAGGCCCTCTCAGGGAAACATCAAAAAGAACAGGACCACATTATGCTTTTTTTTTTTTCCTCTCCACAGCCTCTTTGGGAATTTCTAGTTCCTCTTAACCCAGCCTCTCTCAAACTGTGCTTCCAGAGATGTTAACAGGTGTTGCGTGGAACCAAAAAAAAAAAAAAGAAAAGGTTCGGTGAAATAAATTTGGGAAATGTTGCCCACTTATTAAAAGTTATAAATCCCCCCAGTAGAGGAACCAGTTCCGCTTTATTTAAATCACTGGTTACCAGAGCGAGGTGGGTGGGGGGACTGGGGGAAATTGGTGATGGGATGAAGGAGGAGGGCACTTGTGATGAGCACCAGGTGATGCACGGAAGTGTTGAATCGCTATATGGTACACGTGAAACTAACATTACACTGTATGTTAACTAACTGGAATTTAAATAAACACTTAAAAAAAACCCCACTGGTTCCTGACTTACTTGACCACAGAATCTTGTTAAGGAACATCTATTAGTATCTCCCAGAGCTTGGAAAAATGCTGCTTAACCATTTTTGCAAGCATGTCTCATCTCCAGAATGGGAAGAACATGCTGACACTGGGAACACCCAGGAATCACATATAAAATGATTTTCCAAAATTAGTATATCAGAAAGTTTAAGGCAATGATTTGAAAACTGTAAAAACTTGTCTTTCTGTGAGGCACTTGCTCAATGGTAAATACAGCTAGGAAAGCTAATTTAGAGGTAAAAGTCAGTCACTCTCTCTCTCTCACTCACTCCCTCTCTCTCTCTCCCCAAACTTCCTCCAAAAGGTTCAGACCAAACTTCAAAGCAGCCATGTATAAACAAGGCTGTCTTTGTTCCTCCAAAAGCCCAATAACCTGGAGTCTAGGGTTTCTAGGAAAAAAGACAAATGGCTCATGCTGGCATTGTTTGTTCAATGCTATCAAAGGAATCCCTCTCATTCCCCCTTAGGTGCAGTCTCCAAGTAGCACCCCAAAAGCTATAAAAGGACACACTTCTTGGTGTTCTTCTTTGTGGCAGGGTAAAGCACAGCCCGAACAGCTTCTGAAAATACCTCGTGCACCCCATCCTGCATCAGGGCTGAACATTCTAGATACTTCACAGCCCCCACCTGCTTAGCCAGGGAAGTGCCTTGCTGAGGAGTTGTGGGTACTAGGCTCTGTTCCTTCAGCTTCTTCACTGTCTCAGTGTCATTCCGCAGGTCTCTCTTGGTACCTACCAGCAGGACAGGCACATTGGGACAATGGTGGGAGACCTCGGGGTGCCACTTATGCCTCACATTGGCATACGAGGATGGGTTGCCAATGGAAAAACAAATGACAAAGATATTGGTCTGGGGGTAGGAGAGCGTTCGCAGTCGGTCATACTCCTCTTGGCCAGCTGTGTCCCACAGGTTCAGGCTGACGATTTGGCCATCCACAGATGTCTGGGCACTATAGTTGTCAAAGACAGTGGGGATATACTCCTCAGGAAAGGCATTCGTTGTGTAACTGATGAGGAGGCAGGTCTTACCTACAGCCCCATCTCCTACAACCACGCATTTAATTGTCTGCATTCTTCCCTTGGAGTCCTAAGTGCAAGAGAGAAAGAATGAATGTTCACAGATGCTTGGTTCATTTGGGGAGCCTAAGCTTTATAAACATTTCTCTCTGAGGAGAAAGAGAGGAGGTAAGACCGCCCCCCCCCACTGCCCATCCCCTTAACACCATAGAAGAATCAGCTGGAAAAGACTATATAGGGCAAGAGTTCTTACCGTGGAGTCCGTGGAGTCCATGGACTGCTAGAGGATAAACTTCAGTAGGTCCTAGAAGCCGCCTCTGAAGTATGCAATATTATGTGCATGTACATAAGTGAATTTTTCTGGAAAGAAGATCCAAAACTGTCAACAGGTTGTCAAAAAGGGCTGTGAGCCCAAAAAGATTAAAAACCATTCATATATATAGGTATTTATCACATTTTTGCCAGGAGGTCTCAGAGGTCCTAAAACATAGCAGGTGCTCAATAAATGGAAATTAATTTTTAAAATGCCATTGATGTTGGGGCACCTGGCTGGCACAGTCAGTTAGGCGTCCGACCCTCGGTTTCAGCTCAGGTCATGATCTCAGGGTCATGGGATCGAGCCCTGCACTGCGCTCTGTGCTCAGCACGGAGTCCGCTTGAGATTCTCTCTCCCTCTCCCTCTGCCCCTCCCACATGCACATGTTCTCTCTCTCTCTCAAATAAATAAATAAATCTTTAAAAAAACACACTGATGTAGAAGGAGGTTCTAAAGGTTGAAACAAAAGAAATATACCTCTTACTTTGGGTCTATGGCTATGGACTCAGCAAAGAAACCTCTGTTCCTGACAGTGACGTCATAAACTTGGAGAAAGGTAGGCCAGTCAGACTTAGCCATCCAGAGGAGGATGCTAAGAGTCCAGGCTCTGATGTCAGACCACCTGGAGTCCAAAACCAGTCCTTTCTTTTTCTAAGCTTTGTCAGCTTGGGCAGGCTTTTCACCCGTGGCTTACATGAAAGAATGTTTGTGTGGTACTTATTAGTGCCTGCCACACAGAAAGTACTCATTAAGTATTAGAAACTACTATAACTTCATAATAATTCCTCTGTTCCAGGGAAGGCAAAAGTTCTGTAATGTCATTACAATGCTAGACAAACCAGGGACCTCATCCCCTCCCACCATATCTGAGCAAAACCATTGGTCATACCACCACCATACTTTCTCATCCATTTCTTCATGAATCAAGTATTTGAGAGTTAATGGTAAGGCACAGATGACCTCCAAGATGTATGTTTACTATGAGCTCCCACGTTTATACCCCCATATTAAAACCCTATCAATGCCCTACCCTGTCAGTGCCCCCAAAGCACTCCATTTCCTTTAGCTTCTTAACTACTGCACTAATTTCAGACCTGATCCTATGATAGCATTAACTTCTTCAAGTGTTAATGGAGGAAAGGGGATAAACTGTCATATGTATTTGATTATAGAAAAAAAATTGAGGGTGCCTGGGTGGCTCAGTTGGTTAAGCAAATGCCTTCGGCTCAGGTCATGATCCTGGAGTCCTAGCATCAAGTCCCACATCAGGGTCCCTGCTCAGTGGGGAGTCTGCTTCTCCCTCTGACGCCCCCCTCATGCTCTCTCTCTCTCACTCTCAAATAAATAAATAAAATTGAGAATCAATTAATTTCTCACCTTGAGAATTTGGGGGAATAGATACATCCTTCATCCTGTTGTCTTACTAGCTAAGGTCTACATTAGGCCCATATAATAGACAAAACAAAACACCTTATTTTCAGTCAGAGTAAAGAAAAGTTGGCCCTCAGGATACCTGGGTGGCGCAGTGGGTTAAGCATCTGCCTTTGGCTCAGGTCATGATCCTGGGGTCCTGGGATCAAGTCCCACATCAGGCTCCCTGCTCAGTGGGGAGTCTGCTTCTCCCTCTGCCCCTCCCCCCTGCTTGTGCGGGCTCTCTCTCTCTAATAAATAAATTAAATCTTAAAAAAAAAAAAGAAAAGTTGGCCTTCTGAGTATGCTTCACACAGGCCCACTAGAGGTAGCTCTCATCCCACACAGCCAATTCTGACTAGCAAGGCATTCCACCTAGAAGCCTTCATTTAGCATGGGTCCCACAGCTAAAAGTCCGGAGTGTAATTCAGCTCCAGCATTCACTGACCATCAGCCCTATCTTTTTCCATCTAGGAACAGGCGTAAGGATCAAACATACAAGGTCAATGGAAAAAGGGTAAAGTCACCACCACATTCTTTGAGAATAGCCTTCCTTGATTTTCCCAGTCTGGATTAATTTCTTTCTCCTCTGAATTCCTACAGCAATTCCTGCATGAACAACTCATCTTCCAGCCTGCTATTCCGTATCATCCGGTATCCAACGTCTCTGTTCCAAGTGACTGCTTTCAGGACAACTGTGCATCTGAGGGAGTTGCTGATCCAGAGCAAACTCTTAGGCCCAAAGACCACTGCGCACCCCAAGCTCAGCTCCTCATCTCTAGAACTAGGAAAAGGCATCTACACTCATTTCTGCTTGTTTCTCTCTACTAACCCTCCTGGTATATATGGTCTGCAGATGGGCATTCAACCCACACTGATGGCTGAGGGCCTAGATGATGAAGGGCAGCTAGAACATCCCAGGTCTGAAACAAAACCCAGGACATCCTCACCCATAGCAAACTCTCTATGAAAGGGAGGTTCAGGAAAACTCCCAGGTATTCTGGGGGGCTACTTCGTACAATTAATTGACTCGTTTATTCAGCCCACATGTTCATCATACCATTTTATTTACTTATGTGTGTGTTTGGAATTATCCATAGCTAAAAAGTTTAAAAATACTAAAAAAATACATCTAAAATAATTAGTAGGACCTCTCAGAGATACTTGTACACCAGTGTTCACTGCAACGTTATGCACAAGAGCCAAGAGGTGGGGGTGCTTGGGTGGCTCAGTCGTTAAGCGTCTGCCTTCAGCTCAGGTCATGATCCCAGGTGCTGGGATCGAGCCCCGCATCGGGCTCTTGGCTCAGTGGGGAGCCTGCTTCTCCCACTCCCTCTGCCTCTCCCCCTGCTCATGTTCTCTCTCTCTCTCAAATGAATAAATATTAAAAAAAAGAGCCAAGAGGTGGAAGCAACCTAAAGACCATCATAGATGAAAACATAAAGAAAATGTGAGATATATATATATATTTTTAAGGTTGAATATTATTCAACCATTTTGTGGGGCGCCTGGGTGGCTCAGTCGGTTAAGCATCTGACTCTTGATTTCTGCTCAGGTCATGATCTCAGGGTCCTGGGATCGAGCCTCGTATTGGGGGGGGTCCACACTCAGTGGGGAGTCCGCTTGTCCCTCTGCCCCTTCCCCCACTCGTGCTAGCCCGCTCGCGTGCTCTCAAATAAATAAAATCTTTAAAAAAGACAGTTTCAGTTTTGCATATAGTTAACATTACTGTACTGTATATTTAAAAGTGGCTTCAAATACTAAAAATAAAAATATTTTTAAAGGGTCTGGAGCTCTGAGAGAAGGGTAGGAGTTATAAGAGAAAGGCAAATGAGAAAAGCTTGTTTACCTCAGCCTCGGGATCTAGCATGATGCTGTCCTGTTATGGATCACCTACAGCTTTCCCCTCCTCATCACCACCACTATCTACATTCTCCCTGGTATCCCCATGGGCACCGCACTGCTGGAAGGGACTCAAAAAAGCGTAAAAAGAAAGACTGCTAGAAGCTTACAATCTTACGGTAAAGGCAGGACTCATATGAAAAGGCAAACAATAATACAAAGTAATGCATGGCTCAAAGGGGGGAAAAAGTTGCTATGGGGAAGCAAAGGGAAACTAAAAAATGAGAGCTCGTTACAGGCATTGTGCCAAATACTTTTACATATCTTATTTAAGCCTCCCAGTAGCACTGTGAAGCAGATAACCCCAGGGCAGCTCAGAGATCTTTAGGTATGCCTCTAGGATTGGAAATCGGGAGAGGGCTGGTGCTGCAGAAACCAACACCCCCAGAAAGTTCCCTTCCCAATCAGTCATGCACAGTGAACTGGGAATTACAGTTTCTTCCAAATCTTCCAACCTCGTCTGACAAAGTATCCTTCCTTCACACGTACAGTCTGCATAGGAGTCAATTTTCTCCTGGTTGGATACAATGTAAAAGACCCAGTAACAGTCAAGACAAGGACGCAGCTCAAAGGATTACTGTTTCTAGCACATTCTCCTCCAAGTCTCACCCTTTCCATAAGTCCGAGTCTAATCCACTTGAAATCATCCTGTAACTCTCTGAAACCAAAGCAGTTCAGCAGAAGCCCCCCCATTTGTATTCACTACTCTCCACAACTTAGCTCCCCTACTAAGCCCCGGCAGCCTTTTCACACTGAAGACTGACTTCTTCGGTTCAAGGCCAGTCGCAGAAGGCTTTGGGGCTCTCGAGGCCGAAGGAAGCCCCGTGAACGCTCCCCAAACCGGAGCCAGGGGAAGACTATCCTGCGGCTGGAAACTTAAACCAGGGAGGCAGGGGTAGTGACCCAGCAAGAGCCCCACAAGCCCGCTCGGCACTTCGCTCGCATCCTTCTCCACCAAGGCTGCTGGGTTCCGGGACTTCCTAGGGACTCGTGAGCCTGGGACAGAGAGGTGGCCCCACATGCGAGTCGCCAGCAGCAAGAGCCGTATGCATCCACCTCATCCCACCCCCCAATGCCTTCCATCCCAAGGAACGGCTCACAGACTAACGCGGCCGTCCCGGGCTGGGGAGACTCAGAAAAAGCGCGGGGGATTGGGGTGCGGGCGGGGGGGGAGCTCTGGGGGCGGGGAGTCTCCCTAAAGATTACCTGGCAAAGCGGTCGTCCTCCCGCGCTGTCGACCGTGGCGGGCACAGCCTCCGGCGCGACTCTCGCCGGGGTGGGCGGGCTCGGCGGGCTCGGCGGGCTCGGCGCCACATCCGGGCAGCTCCCGAGTCCCACCCCCGTCGTCAGACGCAGTCTCGGCTGGGTGCCCCGACACCTCCTGGGAAGTGGAGTCCAACGCCAGCCTCACGGTCTGCGAGTCACGG